TAACCCTAAACCCTAAAAAACCCTAAACCCTAAAAACCCTAACCCTAAAAGCCCTAAAAAACCCTAAAAAAAGTTAGGATCTCTTGAGAGAATGCCGCGACCTCGTAAAGTTGGAGCCGACCCAGCGGGGAGCCGAATATTTGTGCCAGCGTGATGTCCATCATCTCATAGAGTAAGAAGATGGCACCATCGTCGTAGAAGGCTCTTTGCAGCTTGACAAGGTTTTTGTGAGAATATGAAGTGATGATTGACAGTTTTTCTTTCCCGTAGTCTCTGATTTCCTTCAATATCCCTTCGGCAAATGTCGCATTCTTGGCATGGACGATCAAGCCGTAGCTAGCCTGGTTAAGTTGAAAGATTTTTGATAATCTCGCCAAGGACTGGCTATATCTCTAGAGAAGGGTGACAGCGGCAAACGTGCGATAGCCTCCTCCATAGCTGCCTCGTGACAACACGAGCCGGGCTGTCCGACTGGCAGAGCGCCCACCTAAACCTCAGCTGATCGTCAGCAAACCAACGGTGTATTGATCGAAGCAGTATTATCTCATATCCCGTCGGCCCCGTCGACAACCTTTCTCCGGATCCCCTGGAGGAGATCCTGGGACAAGGGTTTCTCTTTAAAATCCTGCCGTTGAGAAAGTTGTGCTGTGACCCACGATCGTATATCGGAGTTGACATCCTGCGTGTTAAGTGATAGGCAGATTTGCTTTGCTATCAAAGGGTGAATGTCGCGCAGGAACCCAGTTTCCGGTCGACTGGTATAAAGCAGCTGGACATGACCCAATTCCGGACTAGACATTGTCCCCTCATGGCGGAGCGTCCTCGCGTGGTTGGCGTTTGTAGACGGATCCTGGGGACAAAGCCAGCGCTTGATATTATCGGTATGATGGTCAGGCCTGATGGAATCAGTTGCCGCTTTCGTTGCAACCGTCGTCTGCTGCACGCAATCGATCTGTTGTTGAACTACTCGTAGTTAGGACGTATTCCAAGTTCAAATACCGTTCGGTTTCGGGTGTTTGCTTGTCTAGCCCTGGTGAACGACACAAGAACTAACCTAACAGAAGCACTTCTATTGCCCTCTTGGTCTCCTGGACCTCCGCAGCCGGCACGTACTCCAGAAGCTCCTTGGCGTAAGCAGCGGCGGTGGCCGAGGCGTAGCGTTGCCATCGATTATTCTTGTGAGAGTCGGCGTAGTCGCAGATCCCTCGGATCACAAGACATGGAACGTGGTTCATCATGCCAAAGAGTAATAGGATAACAATATGAGGAAGGCATGGCTCGCTAGATGGCTGTTCGAAATAGCTTCCTTTAGGCTCGCTGTTTGGAACCGCTAGAAGTTAGTTGAATGGCAAATTAGGCTTCCCGTTAACGGTTTGAGTCCAGTTCATGAACCTAGAAATTGTAGGGATTTTAGCTGCATACAGTCGACAAGTTGTGACCCGAAAAATGGTCCCAAGAGTCGCGATTCTGAACCACCTACAAAGCATCTAGGCAATCAGCGCATAGTACTAGTGTGGAAATTCTAGGCAACAACTTAGAGCACAAGGACGCAGAGGAATAAGAAGTAGGTTGAGAGGAAGACGGGTCTCATCCCGAAATCCCTCTACCAAAGGAAGGATAAGCAAAGCTAAGCATACGCCACCGGTAGCCTACATTATTACGGGCTAGTAAAAGACCCTTGCGGACTGTTACATCGCTCAGAACTATTACCCCGAGACTAACGTCACCATGCCTCTAGCCCTGATTTTGGAGGAAGGCTACATTCAGCTTTGCCTCGAATGACTCCGGACCTTCTAAATTGACTCAGCTGAAACAAGGGAGTCTTCCGACAGAAGGCCAATTAGGTCCTTCGAGCCTCCCAGTCGACACGGAATAGTTACATCAGCCATCGTTAGTAATTGGAACATAGAACAGAACCTAGCCCCTTTATCTTTTTGCCAGCGGGCGGAAGTACCCGGAGAAAATAATTAGTGGTGTCTGCTCTCCTACATGACATGACAGGTCTTGCTCGATACTGTTAACTTGTAAAGGCGGATGTTTTGTTAGCACGGCGCTAGCGCGAAACCGGCTGTTGCTCTGGATAGAGGGCATATATTACTCGGGGCATGTGGCTCGTGAGTATGCCCCCGTCCGTCCAGGGCAGTCCAACTAGCGCGATATCATTGTCAATGGTCTGAGTTGATCGTAAGACTGCGATAACCCGGGTACAAACGGCCCCACCACCGCTCTCCGCAAGCACCACAAGACAAATATCTTAACGCATGATTGTCTTTACGAAGAGGTTCCAGCGGCTAGCCAATATTAACTTGTTACTAAAACGATAGTAAAGCGTGCTAATCGGACTGCCTGGGACGGACGAGGGGATAGATGAAGAGCTGGCCCAACCTTGCAGATTGCTCCATAGAAACCTACTACCTGGTTACATCGTTGGCGTCGGAGCTGACCAGGAGGCAGGACACCCTAGTCAGACGTTCGCTAGGCTCAGTGAGCCCCGATGCAGCATAGGTTTGTACTTCGGCCAACTTCTCGTGCATTGACTAATCGGCATGAGTCAGGATCCACAGAAAACGAGGTTGTTTCATTGGCCATGAACATAATGATTAAGCACACTGCGTAGGGGGAACACCCTTGTCAAAGAATAGGAGGCCAAGTTTAGTGATTTCGCCGCTGAAAACACTAGGACGCAAGTACTTCGCCTATCGACTACAGAGCCAACCCCTAGATACTACCTTGAAATCATTGGAGCCAGACCCAGCCGACATGCTATGAGACAGATGGCAGATTTTCAATATAAAAAGCCGCAGGACTGCTGTGGAATTTTTACTACAACTAAGTGTTTCGAACAGTCGTGAAATGTCTTTCATTATTTCTATTATCCTCTCCCTCTACGTTATGGCTTGCAGCGCACTTTACTGCAAAGACACAAGCGTTGTACTGTCCCAAAAGCCTCAAAACCCTGCCAACCCTACATTTCTTAAGCCCGCCACCAACACTGAGTTCACAAAATATGCTTATGATACTGAAGACGCAACTGAAGCTGAAATGGTCGCTGTCGAATACATCTGCTCCTATAACCCCGACGTGAACGGCGAGTGGTGGCTAGTCAGCGAAGAGGGCAAGCCTGTTATCAAGTTGACCACACACTATGTTGACCACTTCGGTGGGGACTTGGATAAATCTCCAACCACCGAAACTTATTCCTTTATTCAAGAATATTTTCAGGCCAAACTTTCAATTGTTCGTGCGGATCTTCAACTTCAGGAAGAAGCCCAAAAGTGGTTAGACGGTGTCAAGGCTACTCAACGGACGCTTTCCATGCCGTTGGGCGAACGCTCCTTGGAGGAGCGTTACGTTCGGTGTGGCTCGTCTCGATGCCAGTCTCAACGGACTTGTATTAATACTGGAGGCACTCAATGCTCAGTTTGTGCTCGTTTTGTCTGTTATTACACAGTACTTCCGGATGGCTGTTGGCACTAGAGTCAGGCAGCTGCCAATGGACGTCTGCCTGGCGAGGAATGGTGAAGGTGGAAAAACCGATGGAGTTGATCTGAATTGGTGCATTTGGTGATTTCTTTTAGTACGGCCAAAGGATTTACGACTCTTTGCGATTCGAAACTTACAAGGGCTTCAACCCCTTTCCCCAAAATTGAGGTATTACCAAGCAAGGACACTTCAACAGTTCCGCGCCCTGTTTAGTCTCTTCATTTTCTCAATCAAGCTACTCTTTTCTTTTGGATTGCTTCCCCATGGTTCTTTTCAAGCCCTATCCATGCGGAATAGTATAGTCGCTAGTTACTTGGTTACGAAGGATTTCAAGACTGTAAGTCACTGATTGCGATTGCAAGCTTCGTCGCCTATAGGCTCGAGGGAACTTTGCACACTAAGGCTCGAGAAATTTGCTTTGTCGGCTATTATCACCAGTGGTGACATCTTCAAAATAGTGGGTTCGTGGTCGATTTGCTTCTTCTTCTTCGATCCGCTTGCAAAAATTGAGCAGCGTTTCTGTGCCACTCAATTCTTCTCTGAAACTCTGCTCCTCGGATTCCTGGTCGTTGTTCAAGTAAGGCAAGTAGCGCTGTTGTCCTTGAACATTTCGATCGAGTCCATATAGATGCTGCAACAGGCGTAACTTCCAGCTCGTGATTTCCTTGCAAGTAGAATTGAGGCCCTCCGCATTGATCATCCATGAACCATTATGGTTGCGAAAGGGCGATGCTTGATCAAAGAGTCTCGAAGAATTGCTCACTTCACCCAGTAAAGTCGGTCGCGTCTGGTCGACCAGAGAGAGGAATTGTTCGCGGATTTCGAGGCTCTTCTGTGTGCTATTCTTCTCGTCCTCCATTAATTAGAGCTCAACTGTATCGAGACCAGCTATCATGGGGCCTTGAGCGCACGCTATTTGTAGCTTCTCTTGAATATCTTGCAAGTGATTTTCCAGCTCACATTTCGTATTTTCGATCAGATTTTTATATTCCTCCAAAACGGCTCTTGTGGTCTTTGTGGTGCGTCTGTTGAAAAGAAAGAAGACAATAACTTACAAATTTGCATATGCGAGTGCAATAGAGATAGTTGACTTGTAACTAGATATGTCCTTGAAATTGGTGATGTCCCCACCTATGTATCTCAACCTTAGCCAGTCTCTTTTGCTGTTCTGCTCTTGGGTGGAATGCGACGTGCGTTTTATGATCAGAGCATTGAATTCACCACAGGCTTTATTGCATCGCTTAAGGGGCTGCTCAAGCACTATGAGATCGACTTCAAAATCGCGAATTGATTCACCCAGATCTTAAAGGACACCCTAGAGAGCCTCTAACTCCTGACGTAGTTCACGAATCACCTTGTCTCTTGATTGGAGGCTCTGAACTGTCTGATAGAGAGTGATAGAAGATTGAAAGGCCAGATTCACTAGGGATATGATAGCAGATAGGGTACCGACCAATTCCGCCATAGCAAATAATGCAATATCGTGCAATTCTCGGTTGTGAGGCGTGAAAGGAGGAACCAAAGGTTTGCGATGGCTCTCCAGGACTCGAGAAAAAGGTCGCGGATTTAAAGGAAGCACTGAAGGGCTTCTGAAACACTTACCGCCGCCCCAAGATAGCGCGCGGCTAGCATCTCACTGTTGAATTTCCTGAATAAGTTATGACATGACTCGCTTCGACTAATGCCTCAACTCACCCTGTGCTTGGAGGGTTTGTAACCAATCATTGGGCTAGGTGTACTAAAATTAGTTGGACTGCCGCGGCGCACTCTTTGTTCAGTCTATTCTGAAACTCACTATGTATTATCTTGTTAGTACAGTAAAACGCATCTCTTGCACCAACGTTGAGCATTGAGCATGGATATCCGAGAGCTTACATCAACCCATCCCGCAAGTTAACTATTTTTCCCGCCCTAATGACTCTCTCTAGAGTGCTGTTTCGAAAAGGAGCTCATTGTCTGAATCTCATTTGAATGCATGGTGTCGAAGAATATTCTGTATCTTTAAGTATTATTTTGGTGAAGTAGCTTCGCCAGGTGGCTGTTCGAAATAGCTTTCTTCGGAGTCGCTGTTTTAAACCGCTGAATGTGCGCTCCATCGATGGAAGCACAGTGTAACATAAGTGGAAATTCTGGCGTGTTGTGGGCAGATGATCGCATGCGTACTTCCCTTTTTAATTAAGAGCGGTCTTTCTGGGATTTGATAATTTACCTGCTTTCAAGGGAATCACTAGGGATATCGCACGATTTATTAAGTAGTTAATAAAGGCTGCTGTGTGTGTAACAATTCCCTGCTGCCATTAGACCGTGTGGTGTCTGTATTGATTCCCCCAGCTCGCCCATAAATTACGTTAAGTTGGTTACACATGAGACAACAACGACCCAGGGCTGGCAGAAAATCTGAAGCCAGTCAGAAGGCTCTAGGGGTCGCAGTTTCAAACTGCGAAATACCCGTGTCTAATCATGGCTCGAGAAGTCCTAGATTCGCGATTCTGAACCGCTAAGAGGATGTCCGACCAATGGATAGACAGTGTTTATCTCGAACCGCTAAATTCAATCGGTGATTCCGCACCGGTACCTTTCGGTTGCGTCTAACTTGCTTGCAAATACTCTTATAAGCATAGACTAATTTGCCTAGATCGAAGCATGACTACTGTGAAGCGAAGCAGCGGATAATGTAGGGCTAAGCAGCGAGATCCAATTTTGTGCTATCTAACTACAGATAGACCAGCCGTCTATAATGTAACCCAATTACAGAGTCAACTTCTGTATAACCAAATCGAATCCAAGGTATTCAAAGAAAATAAAGTAGCCAAGAACGAATAAGAAAGATAGGACGGCAAGTCGGACGCACAAGCGGCAGCGCAAAAACACGGCAACAAAAGCGGCACCTAAAACCGCAAGGATAGCACCTTGCAAGGCCGCAAGATGAAGGCAAAGGGAAAAGCGAAAACTTCAAAAAGAAGCAGGCCACGCCATTGGCGGGAAAGGGCGTACCTAATTGCAGCAAATTAGGAATCACTAATGGTTAGAAATATCTCACTTAAATGTAGAACATGGTATCCTTGATGCTGGGGTGAACAGTTGCCTGGCTCACCTCAGATACACGACTATCACTTTCACCGGCCACACTACCCGTCGGAGTTGTAGAGGGAGTTGGGTCGAACAGATCACTCATGTAGCAGCGAGCACGGGTGCAGACGAGATCGGCATAGTAGGCAGGCGGACACACACTGACGGCCTTCGTTGCTCGGCCGAAGAGGTAGCACATCTTGTGTGTGAGGTCCTGGAGTCTATCGGTAGCGCCGATACCGGGTCCGACGCTAGGGTGTAGTGGGTAGAAGATCTCGTCCTAAACGGTGAAGTAGTGGGCGGGACGGGCGGTGCCTTGCAGCGCGGAGTGGGCCTGTAGGTAGAAGTCCTAGTAGCGAGCCTCGGAGATTCCGCGGTCGACGACGGTGCTAGGTTGAGGGTTGGCGGAGCGTTCGGCGTTACCGTCGGATGTTGGGTAGAAGCAGGTGTTGTGGCGTTTTCTAATAACGACGATGGCTATACGGGGGAGGTTTTTCTTTGTATCTGAGGCTGGGTAGATATCTTGGTAGGCTTTCTTCAGGAGTAGTAGCTCCTTCTTAATGACTATGTCGTATTAGCCCTCTAACACGCTGTTACGGTAGACGACGATACGTTCCGGGAACTTACCCTTATTATACTCTACCTAGATCTTAATACGTGATTATAGAAGGATATCGAGGTCAGAAACTATTTCCTAGCGCGTAGGCTGAATACGAATACCTACGGGCTACTATACGAGTTACGCGTCGACTAAGGCGACGATCCCGACCACACTAGGTACTGAACTAGTGGAACCCGGGGAGGGATAGGTAACGTCGAGACCGACGAGCATAGTCTTACCGTTAGCGAAGAAGCCTAGATCCGAGGTTCGAAGGGTTTAGTTAGTACCTCCTAGCTTAAGGTTGATTTTCAGGCCGATATTTACCTAATATTATACGTTAGCACCGCTTACCTTCTCGGTATGATCACGGGCCTATAGCTACCTTAGGTATCCTAACCCTTCCTTTTCGCGATAACCAGAGCTAGATGAGCTATAACCTTACCGTACGGCTCCGGTCGGTTACGTAAGGACCCTTAGTCCTCCGTATATATATAGTCACGCCCGTAGCTATACTTATAAGAACTATATCCTATCTACCCTCTAGATCTTATCTAGTAGTAAACCCTTATATTAGCTAAGCCTCCGTGCTTAACTACTCGAGAGCGAAAGCTTACTTAGAACTATACTTACTAAGCTCTTAAGACTAAACGATCCCTAAAGATCTAGCTTAAATTACTAACTACTTATAGTACTAAGTAACCCTCTTCTTACTATATTAAAAATCTTAAAAATTATACGATAGTATAAGAGAGGGCTTAAATCCTAAAAAAAACTCTACTCTACTATAGTTAGTATATAGGATATCCTTCTAGAAGAGATCTAATCTACTAGTAATTAAATAACTAGAAGTAAAACTAGAAGAAAGATACCTAATTAGAAATAAAAGCTTCCTTATTCAAATAAACTATAACCCTTATTAACTTATAGAATACCGAAGTATATAATCCTCTTCCGATAGAATTCGATATATAGGAAAACCTATATAGGACTTATATCCTATACTCCGAACCCTTTACGTCGCTCCCGGAACCCCCTTACTAGCTAATACCTAGTATACTATAACTAGTATTACTATTAACCGATAATACTCTAATAATCTTACCGGCTAATATAGCTAAACTCTTTCGAGGCTCTTACTAAAGTATCCTTAATCCTACTCTATAGAAGAAGATTATCCGACGAGCTATCTTTAAGTAAATCGCGACTACTTAATATCTTCTAGGATAGATACTATAGATATATCCGCCTCTAGCCGATCGAGATAGTATCGGTATATCCCGAGAATCTAGTATAGATACTACTATCCGGAAATAACTAGTTAAAATAGTCCCGAAAATTAAGGATTATATAGATATAATTAGGAATAACGGAGCTAGAGAGCATCTATATAACTATAAATACTTCTTTATAGAAGTAAGCTAACTCTCTAACTTAATCCTCTAGGACTTAACTAAGATTATATATATATCTAGAGCTCTAGTAGGTAATATATAGAAAGTCTACTATACCTAGTCTAAATATATTAATCTAATATATAGTATATAATATACGACTACTTAGACCGAGTTCCGAGAATAGATTAAATACGGATTCTCGGAGTATATCAGTACCGAATATAGGCTTAACTAACTTATAATCTATAAATAAGATAGCTAGTAGGGATTTACTAAGTACGCTCGCGATCTATAGTAGTTTATAGCTAATTATAAATATAAGTTCCCCGAAGATCTTATTATTTAATTCCTTCGCTAAGATACCTATACTAAACTCTAGAAGAAGTAGGCTAAGGACTCTAATAAGCCTATAATCTTATATAGTATTATTAATCGGTTTATCTAATATAAGCGAGATACTATAATTATAAATTATATTAGCTAAAGAAACTAGGATACTAATAGTAATATCTATATAGATAGCCTTAATACTATAAATAGCGATGTATATATCTACTATAACTATAGCTAAGTAGACTATCTTAGACTTATCTATAAGTAAAAGTATAATCCTAGAAGCTCCTATAGCTATAGAGACGGATATAGATATAGGGAGCGAGGAGATTACGGTAATAATAGTAGCCGTAATTAGAGCTAAGTAGATTAATTAAAGCCTAAGTATAAGGAAAAGAATATAGGTAATAATAATTTAAAAAACTAAGTCGCTTAGATAAGATAGATATACTTATCCGATATATAATAGTAGTATTAGAGAGCTAGGACTAGCCTAATAACGATTTCTTAGATCTCTTATAGGCTAAGTAGACTACTAATTATAATAGTACTCTTACTATCCTAGGGGATAGCCTATTAATATACTAGGCTTATATCGGTTCCCTAATATAGAATATTAATATATAGGCCCTACTAGATAGTAGTATCTTATATATATTTATATCGAAAACGGTTTTAAAGAAGTATAGGAGCTAGCTTCTTATAATATATAATAAATATATATTATAAGTTAAGCTTCCTAATAGATAGAGTATAGTCTAATACTTCTTACTAACTACTAATATATATTAGTAGTTAGTAGGAATATATATAAGTATAGGCCTTAGACCTATCTAGATTCGATCTAATCCTTAGTAGAAATTTCCTTATAGCTAAGAATCCCTATATTAATTAGGTTATCTTAGTAATAACTATCCGTAATTATACTAGTTTATACCGGATCGAAGCTATCGATCCTTCTTACGATAAAGAGCTCGAAGAAGCTAAGCTTAACCTAATTAGCTACTACTAAGCTTAACGATACGCTAGGAAGAAAGACTCTAAGAGCTTTCTATTAGCTCTCCGGCCTATCCGAGAGGAGCTAAATATAGCCTCTAAGTTTTTATACCCGGATCCTAAGGTATATAAAATTATCCGAGTCTAAACTAATCTAGGATACTACTCTTAATATTATAGAAGTAGACCTAACGACGGTCGGAGATATATTAGAGAGTAAGTAGCTAGAAGTAACTATATACTTCCTAGAATCATAGGAGAAGCCGAGTAACTAGGTACTTATAAAGGTTATTAAGAAGTATATACCGAACTTAAGTCTTTAGGCGTATCCTAATAATATAAACGAGTAATTACTTATATTTATATATAAAAACGGTCTAGTAGCTCTATACCTAGAGCCTATCTTTTATATAGATCTTATTAACCGGATATATATATAGTATAGCTACTTAGGTTAGCCGGGGTTAAACGGAGTTATCCGCCTAAGGGCGTAGTAGCTATAGATGTAAAAGGATATTAAGAAAGCGGTATATATATAGCCTAATTATTAGTTTTTATAAGATTCGAAGAAGAGTCTAGAGAGAGAGTTACTATAGTATATAGTAATACGCGATATCTAGCTATTCTAACATTAGGGTATTAATCTAATCGGTATCTTACCTACTATATCTAATAGGAATTAGTAGATTATTACTATAATCGATTATATAACTAGTATAGAGGGGAATGCTCAAGGCAGTCTGATCTCACTAGACAGGTCGAGTCATAGAGGACCCAAACCACAACCACTAGCACGCACGTCCAGAGATCTCCCAGCCCGACTGTATAACACCTATCCGTAGGATATCCGAAGGTAAAGAGGAAGATCAAAAAGAGTATATCATTGCAATGCAAAAGAATCCGACTGTAAAGACTGTACTGAACTCCCTTAAAGCCGTTCAATCCGATGGTTGCATCATATCCTTCGCATCCGTATGGTTGTCCGTATTATTGTTCGTCGTATTATGGTTGTTAAGTTGATTAACTCCCTCTCCTTATGTCCAAACAGCCTCTCCCGACCGTAAGGCCACCATCAGGCACATGCACCTCAATAGACTATCTGCTCTATGTATATGTAACCGGATTCCCTACTACACTATTTACTTTCTTAATAAATAGGATAGGGAATCCCTATAGGCTTAAGGATAGGTATATAAGCCTCTTCTTTAGAAGTAGATTAACTTAGGCTATCTACTCCTATAGCTTCTTATAAGAAAGAGTATAGATATTAATATTAACTAGCTTTATATTTCTAGTATCGATTATATAGTTTATAGCTTATATAGGAGAAAGGATATTAGGAAGCTTATCTTATATAATATCTAGGAATTATCGGATAATTTTATATATCTTAGGATCTAGGTATATAAACTTAGAGACTACGTTTAGCTCCTCTTAGATAGGCTAGAGAGCTAATAGGAAGCTCTCGGAATCTTTCTTTCTAGTATATTATTAAGCTTAGTAGTAGTTAATTAGGTTAAGCTTAGCTTCTTCGAGCTCTTTATTATAAGAAGGATCGATAGCTTCGATCTAGTATAAACTAGTATAATTATAGATAGTTATTACTAAGATAACCTAATTAATATAGGGGTTCTTAGCTATAAGGAAATTTCTACTAAGGATTAGATCGAATCCGGATAGATCTAAGGCCTATACTTATATATATCTCTGCTAACTACTAATATATATTAGTAGTTAGTAAGAAGTATTAGACTATATACTCTATCTATCGGGAAGCTTAACTTATAAGATATATTTATTATATATTATAAGAAGCTAGCTCCTATACTTCTTTAAAACTAATTTCGATATAAATATATATAAGATACTATTATC